AACAATCCTGCATGACTGTGCGCGACCCAAGACTTGGGAATCACGGCACTTTAGTACCCTAAGGGTCCAAGGACCCAAATCACAGGGCCTCAGGTTCCAAATACCATTAATATTATAGTATTTGGGCCCTAAAACCCTATTATTTGAGTTCTTAGGGGTATACAGAGGTCATGCAGGATTTTAAGACCAGCAGTAAGTGGAGGTTTCAATCTAGCAGGGCTGCCAAGATCCGTGCCGTGCATGTTTTGATTACGTGGGCCAGGGTTTAGGGTTTAGGGCTGGAGATTTACTGTTGGCCCTAAACCCTAATTCTTGGCCCAGGGCATTGCATCACCGAGTGGAACAGTTACTACACTGTTCGCCTCAAGGACGGCCCCGGCAAAGGCCGCTCTGGCAGCAAACCCCTAGGGCCCATGGTGTGCATTCATGCATGCAGAATTCTTGCTTGAGCCCGGAAATAAAATGTGTTTATGGGAACCTCTTCAGGCCCCGGGTAGATAGCATAAATCTAAGGGAAAGGGGCTAGGTGCAATAGTTTGAGCTCCCTCCCAGAAACTTTCGCCCTTAACCCTAAGCCCCCGACCATCCAAAACCCACAGGTGATGCCTGTAATCTCCTCACTCTCCATGATATGTCCTAGTCGTCTAAGGCCCAGTGTTAAGAAAGCTCCAGGTCTTTCCTTGAATGACACCACCACGCTCTTCATCAGGGGCCTTCTGGGCTGGGAGCACGTGCCCTCACAGGCACTCGTACGTTTGGTCCTGCGCTGTCTTCTGCCGATATTGTAAGATGTACGGAATCAGGGTCCACTGGTCTAGATAGCCTAAACCCTAGGCCCTAAACCCTATCAAATATCAAATAGCACTTCTGTCATGCCATGGAGAAAAGGTCTGAGAAAACAACAAAACTACGGTCGCTGAGCACACAGTTTGGCGCGCCCCCTTTGTGCCACTGTGCGTCATGCACGATGATAGTCTCCGGATGGTCCCGGGTATGAGTCGATGATTGTCAAAGATATAGGCTGTTCCAAGATTTTTCTTACAGACTAATGTAGACCCCTGATTAATAAACTCCCTCCTTTTACCGGCCTTAATATTAGGATTCCCAGTATAATCCGTATCAAGGGGAGGGGGTTTATTAATCAGGGGTCTGGGTTAGTTTCTGCTGCAATAAGGGGACTCCCCCGGAGCATGGGATTGCCTATGTTGCATATATGTGTAAACGGACAGTAGTTTGGGGTATATGGGGGGGTTTTGTCAACTGGCGTTACGGGGGCTTGCGAGCAGGGATCCCGATTCTTAGAACCCCCCATATGTAGATTGGAACATTGGAACATTAGAAGGCCTCTCCAACCATTAGGGGTCCAAGTATACAAGCGCTACCTATATTGGGCCCGAAACTCTACAAATATTAGTTACCAAAGTTGGGCTCTGGATCTTCTAGGGCCAAGGACCAGGATAAAGCTAATCAGCGGAGCGGGACGCTTTCCGCTCAGCAAGAGTCATGCCTGGTAAGAGTACCCTAAACCCTAAACTGTGAGGGGGGCCCCAAAGTAGCTAAGACTCATTGTCCCAAAGGCTTCATGTAGATATATGAGAGTACACCTGGCCTAAAGGCACGAAAAATGTGAGCCTGCTCAGGTCCCAAGAGTCTATGCTGGGCTGGGATTTGGGATATTCAAATAAGTATCCTCCCGTATTGGTTTCATAAGGACCCTATATACCAATGTTTTTCCAATGTTTTGTAAGCGGCTAGAAAGGCCAACCAAGCTTACAGGAAAGCTTGGCTTTGGAAGGGCAATTCCCGCAAAACATCATGGCCCAAAAGCATTAAACAACAGCCAAAGAAGTCCTTTTTCTTCATACTTTGGGGGTCCAGGTAGGACTTAGCCAGATCGAAACTAATCCCCTCCCCTCCCCCCCAAAACTCTAAGCCCTCCAGCCCCGGAATATGAAATATTCCAAGCGTGGTATGCTGTAATCTGTTTAGGAATATTTGATGTTGGGGGAATACGGGGGCTTGAATATCGTGTGAAGGGATGAGAAGAAGCCGTAGATCACAAATTTGGCTGGCTGAGATTTCTGGTTTCAGAGTGGCATTGCTGTAGTTTTCTGCATAGGTTGCATTACATGGGCATGTGCGCTCATTCCCTCAAGAAGCCCGAATCCTCGCCAACAAGCAGGAACGACAGAGAGGTCCCCACCACGAAGACGGCCCCGCTACCCCCAAGCCCATGTGAGCTATAGTCTAGACTCCCGTAAGGGGAATATACATGAGATTGTATACGGGAGTATTATATGGGTTATTAAGGGGGATACCAGGAGTTTAGACCATAGATCATGTTGCATTATGAGCTGTAAATCTTGCGCAGGCCTTCATTGAGACCGACCAGTGTGGAACGCTAAGTTGCAGCAACGGATGCGTTCCACGGAAGCTTTGGAAGGCTCAGGGAAGTGCGGGCAAGAATCCTGGATGTATTGAGGTTACCGTTTTAGGGTCTTAAAGTTCAGGGTTCAGGGTTTCAGCACATTCACCGCAATAGTGAGACAAGGCCATCAGGAAGATGGTGATGATAGTCACGGTTGAGAACTCCAGAACTATAGCAGCAGAAATAGTTGAAAAAGCAGACGGTAGTTCCTGTAAGAACTGCCATTCATGAACGCAATTGGCAGAACAGAAAGCACACAGTACTAGGAAGATCCGGGACAAACCCAACCCGTCCAAATTCGGACCCTACTAGAGCCATAGGATGGTTCTAGGGTCGCAAAATTCTTTGGTTGGGGCTGGGTTACCGAAATTTCTTCTTACAATGCTCGCAGCTCCCTCGCCTAGCCTTTCGAATGCCAGCCCACTGGTACGCACCAATCCTGCGCAAGACCCTGAACAGATGTTGGCGCTGGTAGCGTTCGGGGACGCAAGAAGCATTGATGGCACGATCCGAAAACCATCTTGTGTATTCGGTCTCCCTAGCAACCGAATTGCAATTGTTGCCACATGTCATGCCCCCACAGTCTGACAGACTCTCTGTCGGTCTGCCTGTGTCTGTGTTGTGTGTCTCCCTCTGCCTCCCTCTCTCTCTCCCTCGCTCCCTTGCTCTCTCTCTCTCTCTCTCTCTCCCTCTTTCTCCCTCCTTCTGCGAGAGGCTATTCTCAAGATGGGCGGGAAGTATGTCGCGCTTCCCTTCCTGGCTTTGTGTGCCTCGGACTTGCCAACGGTGTAACCTGGAGTGGATGGAGGAAAACTTGCAGCACTCCGTACCCCAAACATGCTGTAGTTTCCGGAGGACGTGGTATACGGGGTAGTATACGAGATTTCCTGCATCCGCTGTAGGTATATCTCAAGTTATAATGTTGGATCCTGATTGGTGTTGGGGGCCCCCCTCCCCCAAAGAAGAATGGGTCCCTATTTGACGGAGGGGGGGTACCCCTCAAACAAATCTGGATCCTAGGTTTCAAATAAAATTCAAAAGGATGGATTGGATCCTACGTTTGCTCAGGACTGGGGACAGAGGGTTTAGGGATTAACTAGGACCCTAAACTAATTTGCTTGCTGCCTGCCATGGTTTTCAAAGCAAATTAGGTTCATTTATTCTACGTATCATTCCCAGAATTAGAACGCGCAACTTCGCACAATTAAGGGACCCCAAACGAACCTAGGGGGTGCTGAATAATTTCGGCGAGGCTTCGCACAACTCGGGAACCCCACACTAATCGGGATCAAACATTACCTAGGTACTATCCTGTAGCCATATAATTACTGCGCTCCTAAATGCAATCCTAAACCCTAAAGCCTAGTAGCTACTGTCAAGGTTAGTATTTCGTAGCATGCCCAGCTAGTGTGGCAACATCTCTGTAGGGGGCCTTCTAGGAATGCCTGCAGAAGCGATGTAGGGTTTAGCTTAGGGTTAGGGTCTCCGCCTTTACGGACCCTCCAGCACCAGAGATCTCACAACGCTCGTCGGCCCAGGAGCATGAAGAAGATGTGCATGAACTTGTGGAGCAGTTTCCATGATCTCAATATAGACCACCATGTACTATGATCCTTGTTATAGAGACTACCAAAATCGGACAGCGTCCCAGGCATCGTAAAGGCAGAATACTTGTAGAATCCAACCATGGCGAGAGACCCGTGATCAGTCATTTTGCTTGTGAAGTCATCTAAAGAACTTGCGGTAGCAATCCCTGATCCCGTGCTGAGGTGTTGTATTCTGGCTGTGCCGGCCAGATCCAGCGAAGAAGAAAGCCCGCACGCAGGTAGATTCCTCCTAGCCGCTCCGGCAACGGCCGTAGGAACTGGTAGGAGACTTCGTGAGTTAAAGATATTCTTGGAATGATGACAGGGCTTCTCTGGTCTATGCTCCCATTACCTTGCTGAAAAAGCATGCCCGTGGCTCTTCCGTGTAAATATTATCTGGAAGATGCCACGGAAGCATAATGGAGCAGTCCGTGTTCCAGCGATTGTCAACGATAGGGGTGCTCCCATTGTTACAGCAGGATTTCTCCCGATTGTGTTGTTGTATACAGGCTTTCAAATTTTCCCCCCCAGGCACGAAGCATCAGGAACCTCGCAGTTGGGAGGCCTCTAGGCTTCTGGGCATAGCTTATACTTATACTATGACCCATTGCGAGCGTGCAAAACTTGTTGCACTGGCTTCTGTTTGCAGATGGCATGTGGTGCATATAGTTTCCAATGGGAAGCTGGCAAAATGTGTTAGTAGGACCACCACACCATGCTTGCAGCTGAGGGAACCCAAACGTTGCGCAGTTTGGCCTGCATGATTTTTGCCGCTAATGATTGTGTAGAGCAAGCAAATACCACATGCATGCATGGGGCCAATCCAGAACTGTCACGTTTCCTTGACCATGGAAGCTTATGCAAGCCTTGGTACATACCATTCAAGCAAAGCGGTACAGGCCTTTGCCTGGCATATTGAGACCTCCCAGGCTAATTACGCAACTTTTTGGATTTAGGGATGTTGAAATGAGCTTGTGACTTGAGCCATGTCGAACTCTGACCGGTATGATCGACATGGTCCATATAGCCCACCGCCAGCAGAGCTGAAGGAACGCCCCTACTGGCGACACGGTGGGAGCCGTGAAGAGCCGGAGTATGACAGGAGGCCGAGTAGCAGCTACGACAGACGAGATCCCTATGCCCCTAGTAGCCATGAGGAGCGCCGAGATCCTTATGCTGGCGGCTACGACCGGAGTCCCTATGCCAGCCCTCCTGTTGGACACGATGCAGAGCGGCGGGATCCCTATGCTGGCGTTCCTACGTCGCGGGCGGGCTCAGATCCCTATGCTAATGCAGACAGAAGGTATGCCTACCCCGCTTATGCCGATCCTGACAGGAGGTATGACGAAAGGGACTTCCGCTATGCGCAGCCCCCGCCGCCAGGTTATGATCCCTATTATGACCCTTACCGTCAACATTATCCCCCACCGCCAGGGCCCTACGGAGGAGGGTACTACCCGCCGCCACCAGGCTATGGTGCCTACCCACCGCCACCAGGATATGGGCCACCCCCGCCAGGGTACGCACCACCAGGCTATCCTCCGGCTTACCCGCCACCACCCCACTATCCTCCCATCGCACACAGGCAGGAGGAACTTGAGAATAGAATGAACCTTTCCGTTCAGCCTAGTTCCCCTTTGCAATAGCGAGAGCTATGTTGGTTCGAGATGTGATGTGTTGAGCTGCATTCTTGGTTCGTGGCCCCAATTAGATCGACTTGCTGTAAGGTTCTGTGCCTTTCGCAAAGGGCTCATTGGGTAGATGGTAGATACTTGGGCCAAACAATGTCAAACATATTCCCATATACGTGTGTCGGCACCGAAGATCTATGCCAAACACCCACATCCTGGACCTCCGAAATTTCCTTAGTAACAGCTTATATGCCTTATACCCGTTGTTTGGGAATGCCCTTTGCAATTTCGGCCCCAAGTATATACATATTCGAACACGGACCCTCACTTGGAGGTTCAGCGCACTTACAAGCCAATTACAAGTCAGGTTTTTGACCCAATTACAGCACAGCCATGTTACGCGACTTACCGGGCATACAATTGGGTCCTGAATACTCATATACCTGGGGCACAATGACCCTGCATCCTTTACCCTATGTGACCCTCAAACTTGGGTTACAGCTAATCTAAACCCTAAACCCTTAACTCAAGGCCCCAAACCTTACACCCGAGACCCTCAACCCTTTTGATGCAGGCCTTATAGCCCCGAGCCGGAGAGAGAGCCCCCGAAACGGGGAGGCAAGGGGCAGAGGCCCAAGAAGGACGGGCAGGGTTTGAGGTTTAGGTGTCAGGTTTTAGTGTTTAGGTTGGGGTAGAGGGGTTATATAGTTATATACATATGAGGTTTAGGGTCTTGGGATTGGGGTGTAGGGATTAGCGTTCAGAGGTTAGAGCTATCAAAACAGGGACCAGAGTGGAGAATCAAATGCAAAGAAGATGGAGAATGAACGGGAAAATGGGCTGGTTTGTGGTGTAGTCCCCCTCAAGTAGATAGAATATGGCTTTGAGCATATTATAGTAAGATCCCCGTATACACCATATTCTATCTACTTAAGGGGGACTGTAGGGCTAGGTAGGGCAAAACCGCGTGCTGACCAGGCAATATCCTTTAGTCCCTTATTTTGCATCACGAGAGCACTACTATTGCGCAATGCGCATTTATACTCCTTAGGGCAAGAAAACCCATTGCTGGTTCGGTGGCCATTTCTCTAGATCAATATCTGTATACTATGCCCAATACCTGATGTTTGCCACTTTCTTCAAACCTTAGGGCACAGATTCTTCTACTTTGGGATAGACTTCTTATGCACAACTCCCTGGCAATTGAGCTTTGCAAGGCAAGTGGAGTGCAGCCTGGTGATCTGAACATATTACTGACATGCCTGAATCTTCGTTCTTTAACTAATTTAGGGGGTTGCCGTCCATGAGGTCAGGGGATACTATCCCATCCCCACCCTAAACCCTAAAAAGTAGTTTCCCTTTTATTTTCAGTATCCCAGTATCACCCTGATATTACCCCAATGGGTATCTTACTGTGGGCAGCTGTGTGTTGGTTAACTGACAACAAGGGGTCGCGTATCAACAGCGGGTTCTTCGGATCCTATTATTGGGGTTATCCTCGGTGTTGCAGGCGTTTCATTGGGACTATTTCGGGCGTTTTCGGCAGACTCCTCGCTCAAGACGTATCACAAAGGAAGTTGTTTTTCCCCGGCCCTGCAGCCTTGCCTGGCCACGACGCTCATTTATATGGTGTTCGTGTGCGTCGGCTGTTATCTTGCTTAATCTCACTCCGATAGCCCAAACCCTAAAGCTGTCATCAGCCTTCCTGTGTGTTTTCGAGATTTATGTGTTTCTTTTGTCATCATCTGCTCGAGCAAGCACTTGCCAGGAGCAGAACTCGGGACAGGGGGGCGGTCAGGGTCCTGGACGCGGCAAACGGAAGCTGGGCCGTATAATACCTAATTCTAAGACCCTTACCTGCACCCCCAAAGTTAGTGGATAACAGCTTTTTGGTGTATTTTTTCAGGGCCTTGGTTTTGCTTTTGTGTTGTAAAATCTATGACCCTGGAAATCAAAATCTGCAAGACCCCAAAGCCTGAAGTGGGAGCCCTAGGAAGCGCGAAGCTTCCCCAGAGAATCCACCCGTGGACGGGTCTGAGATTAAGCTCAAGTTCTCCGAGGCTTTGGGAGGGGGCAAGGGTTTGGGGTTTAGGGGTTTAGGGTCTATGGCTTTCAAGGTGTGAAGGTTTAGGGGGTGTTAGGGCTTGAGGTTCGCCAGGTTTGGGCTGGTGGGGCTTGAGGCTTCTGACTTTCAGGGTTGGAGCTGGCTGCTGAGGGTTAGGGCCAAATATCAATATGTAGCGCCTCAAAGATTGTCGGGTGTGTTCAGACGTTTTTGGGGGTTGGGGTTCTTGGGCGCAGGACTGATGTTGAAGGTTTTCTGCCCTGAAATCATTCCCCCCCCCCAACCCGCTTCTAACACTAATCACAGACGCCCCGAATATAGTCTATAGTAGCATTCTATATTAGGAGGAAAACTTGTGATTAAGGGTTGGGGGGGCTTCATTATTTGGAACCTAAAACCTCAAGCCCTAAGGCTTCGGCCCCTAAGAGTACCTACACGAACTAGCCAAGTACCGCACTTCTGCAAGGAGCCTGTCCCGAATTCACTGCCTGCCGATGAGGTTTAGGATTCGGGGTTTGGGGCACTATTTAAGGGGGGGCGTGTTGCATTTTCCCAGGCAAGAAGGATTGTAGATATGTTGTGAATTTCGGGTTCCAGATCTTCTTCTGCTTGGCGGTTTTAGCAGTTTAAGACTTAGCAGTCGGGATCCGCGAAGAATAATAGATTCTGGAATGATGCGTTCGTCACATTCCAAAACAAGCTCTACTACATGAAATGCCCTGTGGCCGCAATTGCCATTTTCTATGAAGAGATGTTTTCTTCGAGGCAAAGGGGCAGTTGATTACTCTGTGGCTCGTTCTGGGCAACCAGGACCAGGTCCCTACTCCCTTGTATGTACCCTGGGGCTCATATGCAGTTCCTTAGGGGTGCTGTCCTATGTAACTTGACCCTTTCACAAACCCAAGCAGTACCTACATGGGTGGTTGCCAAGATTATGGTCCCTTATTGGATCCCTATTGCAATACAGCAACTAATATTAGGGTACACAAAAAGGGACCATAATTTTGACAAGCACCTACATGGCAGCCTCTGAAACCATGAGCTGGGTTCAACTCTGCCATAAGCCTCGTTTCCTTTTTTGTTGCTACCTTCAGGTGCTGCCCAGATTGGTGAAAGCAGCTCAAGAGCAAGAAGGAAGCCGCTTCCTGCAGTGGAAGCTGAGTGGGAATGCTAGCCACGCAGCCGAAATACAGGGATGGCTCAAGATCGGGGTGTTGTCTTGAGAATCTTACCGTAAGGGCTAGGCACTTTAGAGGGCACGCCCTAATTTGAAAGAATAACAGATGTAAAGAGGGAAGCGTTTCGCGGGGGAGGGTTCGCAGGTGTTCTCGAAAGCTCATGCAAATCATCTTGGCACATAGGAGGAGCACTTGGGATGACGTGGAGAAGCAAACTTCCATGTCACAATGGTCCATTTTCTTGTCCATGCGTTTCTATAACCCCACTATGCTATAGTAGTTTCAATTTCTTTTGCATTATTCCTTACAACACCCCAGTATGCCATAGTTGTTTCAATGTTCTTGTCCATTATCCCTATATATCCCGAATATAACCCCAATATAACCCTAATTAGTAGTGTCCATTTCATTTTCCATTGTCTCGGACCAGCATATGCCTCAAAAAGTTCTTCCGTGAGAATCCTCGGGTGGCCTTTGCCCCCCAAACTTTAATGGGTGGCTTCCAGAAAAAAAATGTGGGGTACCTTATTGGGGGTCCCTATAACAAGGACTATAGTATATTAGGGTCTATATTGGGGTCCCCCTATTTCGGGAAACTACCAAATTTCTACCGCCGGAACCTTTGCCGCCTGGCTGCGCATTCTCCGCCCCCGTACACCCTGGACCCTAAGGTCTCCACTTCAACGGCATAACCTTCAGCACTTGTTTAATTTCAGCGTGGAAAGCATACATACTATGACCATAGCATTCGAGACTTGTGCTATCATGGAATGCGCTATAACCGAGATGGTGAGAAAATATGCCTTGGGTTCTACAGTGATGAAGGGCCTGGATATTTGGGAGACGGGGTTGCGCGTAGTGAGATGTATAGGGCATAGCAAGTAGCATAGTGTATATCGTGTATGCTGTATAATATCATGCATTGTGTAAGTGCACAGTGACTATTGTATTGTATTGTATTGTATTGTATAGTGATCAGTTTATCTAGAGCATAGTGCGCAGGCTTAATGTGTATGTATCATACAGGTTACAGTATAGCAAAGACAGGGAAGAGCTATCTGAGGATTACGGGAGGGCAACGTCCGAAATTCTACCCTATATAAGACCTAAACCTGTGCCTCAAGCCCTTCACCTGTTAAGTTCTGTAACCTTAAATCTTTTACACCCCAATTCTAAATCCAATTTGCTAATATTATTACCCGTACCATTGTTTTGGGTTTTTTCTACGACTTTTTGGCTGATCTTACTTGTTTTCTTACCCCTCTCTCCTCCTACTACTGCTGCTGCTGCTGCTGCTAGTACCGCTTTTACGCACTACTACTTGTTTTACCACCAACTTACCACCACTACTGTTGATACTAAAAATCCGGCATGGCCTTAGTATACTATAGTACCATTATTCCCAAGGTATAAGATACCTAGGGTCATGTAGGATTCCTATCCCTAAACCCTAAACCCTAAAACCCTAAACCCTAAACCCTAAACCGTACCCTTCCTTTTCTGCAGGCGAAGAGGAGCTGACCCAGATCTTTGACAAGGCGATTCCTGCAGTGGTAGACCTCGCCAATGACGCGTTTGGGAGCCTTGGAAATGGTTCATGGCTTAGGGTTTGCTTTGGTACCAATTTCTACAAAATCAAGGGTATTTGGACGCTGAAGCTCTATTTGGGTCCCAATTACTACAAAATTAATGGTATTTGTGCCCTAAAACCCTATTATTTGGGTCCTTGGACCCTTAGGGCAAGTGATAGTAAGAAACCAAGAGCCCTAGGCTGCATGGCGTGAAGAGGATCGAAGTGAGCGAGTCCTACTATGCTGCCC